TCAGACGAGTCAAGGTAGGGGGGCCATCTTCTGGGCTAAGCTGAGTAGGAAGAAAGGTGTTGTTTTTTTGCGGCTACATTAGTTTGCTTCTCTAGCAATAACGCTGGGTTCTACAGAACGTTAGGCTCTTAACTGAGTCAGCAAGGGTCAGCTGAACCCCATCTTTCGAGACCTCAGGCTTCCCAGCCACCTTTACCTCTATCTTTACAGGGTTCAGTTTGTTTACTTTTAGGCGCTTAACTAGTGGCTCTAAACCTTTAGCACACTGCCAGAAGATTTCAATAGAGAGCTGGATAGCTGGATACTCTCAGCATATTGACAACATCCAGTTCCAACACTAGGAATGATTTTTCCTAAGGGCGTTACATAGAGATTGAACAGCATGGGAGATAAGAGTGCGCTCTGAGGAATGCCACAGGTTAACTGGTCCCCAATGGAAACCCTTTGAGTCCTGTCCATAAGGAATGATTTAAACCAATCCAGAGTGCCTCCACTGCTGCCTACAGATAAATCCAATAGGAGCAGCAATGAGGACCAGGCTTTTGTCTACATTCAGACACAGATAATCAATGGAAGCCATGCCACCTCTGTCCCATAGCTCGGCCTGAAACCAGACAGAAAAGGGTCCAGAGCACGAGAGTTATCCAAGAAGGCCAGGAGTTGGTCATCTCCTCTGCAGCCAGTAGAAGAGATTACTTGTTGCTGTGGCGTGAGTAGCAAGTAAAATCCAGTCTCAAGGTGTTTTTTGAGGTTTTTTTTTAAAAATTCCACACTAATGAACTGCAGCTAATTGAGTTTTTCCCCTCCAGATAATGGGGAAGACACAGTCCTGCTCTTGGAGTGGTGATAATTACCTTTAATTGTACATTTGAAAAGAGGTAGTGATTGCTTCAGGAGTAGGGAGGAGTGAGGGGAAAAAAACTATTTTGGGGAGACGGGGGAAGCCTTGCTTTGTGCTGAAAAGGGTCATTTTTTGTAGTTTAATTATCTAAATCCTCAGCCAGAGGCCATTTCCTAGTGGGTGGCTGTTGGTTCCAGATCTGCGCTAGGAACATATATGATTTGGACAGCTTCGGGTGAGTGCCTGCCCGCCCGCCCGCCGCAGGTCTCAAAGTTGCTTTCTTATCCTGATTTATCCATTATATACCTCTATTTCATTTACTGGACAGCAGACTAGTACCTGTGGCTATTTTGAAAATGCGACATGTTCTACAGCAACAGGTGAAAATAATGAAAGAAGCACAGCTGCCAAATTAAAGAGACAACAGAGGAACTGGGCTGTGTATAATACTATAACAACACTGAAAGCATTTACACAAGCATATCCATCTATACTTTAAAAACACTAGAAATTTAATAAAGTTATCAAAGTTCAACCTTTAAAGTACAGGATACAAACTGCAAAGAAGGTCCAATAGTAATCTTATTCTAACAAAGTTTCTGGGTAATGCGTTTGTTTCCAAGGTCTTCATCAGAGAAGCCCCTAAGCTATTTTGAAAATGCAGAACACTTTTCCCTACTGTTAAAAGTGATGAAATATTTTCTGTTGGTGGAGGCCACAGTAACAATAAGCAGCACAAGAAGTTTTGTCTCTAAATTACTGCAAACTGGGGGGGGGGGTTGTTCCTACTTCTCTCACAGTGTGTGTGAGCTGCCTAAAACACACTGCTTTTTAGTTTTCCAGAGTGGACAAAGAGACAGGGGTTCCTTTTCAATAGCAGCACTAGGAAAATTTGGCGTGGGGGCACAGGGCAAGCTACATTTTTGGGTGGGGAAGACTTTGCCCCATGTTAGATTTCTGAAAGAGAAATACAAGTATGTTTCATATTAACAGGCCCATTCTGAACATAATTTTTCTTTCAAAAGACAAAAAAAAAGATGACCTAGGGAAGCAGAATCTGCAATTCTGTCGGACAATTAACAGGCTTGATTTCAGATTTCACAATGGTTTCAACCTATCCACTTAAGACTCAAGCTTGTATAAACAAGCATTATAGTAAAAAAGAAAACATTGGACTTACCATGAGTGTGTCTTTTTTAATCGGTGGAACGGAGGGTGGAAGACAGGGGCACGGCCAGTAAAAGCATGGAGGACGTGGAGGTCTGCCCTGGGAGGGTGGAATCAGTGAAAACTGCCCCTCCCTTCTGTTGATGGAAACCCTCTGCTGGACCCACCCCAATGCCTCCTGTTCCTCTCCCTTTCTCCAGATGGCTTCCTGAGAAATATAGTTTCTCCAAGTATAGATGGAACCTTCAATACACCTCAAAAGAGTCTCCGGGAGCAGATTAAATCCATCACAGATTTGGATATTCCTTTGCACTGGAAAATCTCTTTTTGAATGGACAGGTCTCGAGGTGATGTCCTTCCTCTAAAATAGAAAGGGTCTCTCTTCTTCTATCTGCTGCCAAGACTGTCATTGCCACAAATCTTTCACATTGGCACAAAAAGTTGGGGGACTTTTCTTATGGCTAAGCTTGTGGACAATCTTCCGCATTTGGACAAGCACTCTTCACTCTCTAACTCTACCTCTATCTGGTTCCCCATTTTGGAATATTTGGTTTCCCAATGAGAAACCCCTAAGCTGATAGAAGTACTATTTATGTGGTAAAACTTAAAATTTACTTATTGTATTCTGTAATCCAACATCCTTATATTGCTGTGATTTTTAACTGCCTCTTGTTCTTTGATGTACCACTATCTTGTTTTTAATTTCAGTTGTATGAGCTGTATAGCTTCTTTAATTAAGCATGTATCATTCACAAAAGTCATAATAAAACATTAACTGAAAAAAAATAAGTGTCTCTGGAGTGCCTGGTTATTTAGCCGCTTAGTTCAAGCCTATTACTACTTGTTTGTTTAGGGGTTCAAGTCAGGTTCAAGGTAGACAAGAGGTTTTAGGTTTACATTCAGATTGGGTTCAGATCAAAATACTTCTCTAAACTGGCTTGGGGGTTCAGGTTTACTTCAGTTCTTTGCTTTTACCACCAAAACAGTTTTAGCCTCACAAGTGAAACACGCATGCATGAGAACAGCAAACTGTATATGCATCATTAAAATGCAAAATAAAATCCCTCGATAAGCATTTGTACACACCCCCATTCCCTGTTAGCACCAAATATGCATTTAGCACCCAGAACATGCTTAGAGGCACTGTTATGCCACACATTCCATGAGCTCCCTTACAGGTTATCAGAACCACAGTTTTCTGTTTCAATATTTCTATCTTGTCTTTCAAAAATTACTCAAGGCAGTTAACAAAAAATTCTTTAAAAAATTCAACATCTTAAAATACGATACAATGAAGCTTCTAACTTACTCTAAAAGCAATACATCTATTCAAAGACTGCCTTGCCCTCTCCCTGAATATCTCTGCCATTCCACCCCACCCCACAATTCCTTGAACCACAGACATTTACATACTGGGTGGGTAGTTAGTTGTTATAATAGCGGAGTATAGTGATCAGAGAAAACCTGGAAATTTATTTATTTGATTTATATCCCACTAACAACCATAAAAGCATTTAAACTAAAAATTAAGACAAGTTTAAAATGAGCCGGTAATAGCAACGATGGGAACAAGATGGAGAATTTAAACGCCTCCTGCAGTTGACAGTCTTTTAGCAGGGTCAGTCTGGACGAAACGCAACGACAAAGACGGTCTCCGGAGGAGGCTCCTTCCCCAAAAAGGGAGTGGGGAGGAAATACTGAGATTGTAAGACCTCATCTAAAATCTACTTAGATGATGATTTCACATCCAGAAAGGTGTTTTTAACATATTTCTTTTTTCACAAAGTATGCCGCGCAGCAGGCATGCCAATAAATGTGCATCATGCTAATAAAACAATAAAATATAGAGATACAATTCAGGTCTAGAAGAATTCAGATCTAGAAAAGCTGCCCCTTCCCCAAGAAACCAGGGTCAATGATGCACAAAGCCAATTAATTTTCTAAGACAGGAAAGAACATTCAAGACTTGAACCCCCATCGGTGTTCTAGCACTGTGCTACTGCAGAATCCTCTTTTACTGGTGTTTCAAACCAGTTAGCAAACCTCTTTTCCTTTCATAACCACAATCCCATCTCCTCTTTAAGGCAAAATGCTAGTTCTAACTCTGCATTGGTTTTAGGCTCTTACTGTGTAATGTACTCTTCTACCAACTATATCTCACTTCTCTATCATTTACTTGTTTTCTAAGCTCAAACATAAGCTTCACTTCCTTCTCCCTTGGACACTGTTAAGCAGAGAAGCCATTCATCTTTCCTCACTTAAAAGTATTCCTTCAAATCTACTTCAGCCAAACCACTTTGGAACTTCCATAGCCCCAGTTCTGCTGATCCTTATACTGCCGAGGCCAAGCTAGGTAATACGCTGGAAACCAGAGAGTCTACCAACTCTTCTTTTCTTAAACAGAAAAATGGCCAAAGGATGCTGCCCATTGAATGAATGGAGGAATGGCAGGTAAAGAGGCTCTTCAGGTCTCCCTGCCATCATTTGGTCACACAAAATCACCCAAGCTTCTTTTCTACCCACCGGACCCCACATCGTCCTTCAGCAAAGCAGTTGGGAAGGATGATTTCAAGTGCACCTCTGACAAGAGGACAGGGTTAAGCCACGCCTCCCCTTGCCATGCCTATTCCTCCACCCAAGCGGCCTACTGAGGTCACACAGGCTTCTCAGTTGCAGGCACAACTGGGATTTGGCCCTCAGCTCTTCCTGTCTTACTACCATTATGCTTTCTCATCTGCCTCCCCTGACAGACCAGACATTCTGACAGAAGGAATTCTGTTGCTTCTTTGTTCTATATGCAGTCTAGCATTATGCTGGTGTGACATAGAATGTTAAGTATTACAGCACTAGAGGGATGCCTTTAAACCGTGCAAACACACCAAATTTGAACACGCAGTGTAATACAGTTCCGAAAGTCTGAATGCATCTTGCTGTACTGGCTTCTCTTTGGAATGCAGTGAACACACCATGGCGCAACTCTCTCAGTCTTTACCTGGCTGTTAACGTCAGCTGTATGTTGAAGCAGTACGGAGACCAGCTCCTTGTGTCCTCGGTCACTTGCCCAGTGGAGTAGAGCTCTGCCCTAGAAATTTCAAGCAAAGGAATGATGTTAGATGAAAGTCTTGGTGGCAAAACAGACCACAGGCTGTGCTCTTCAAAGCATTTCGTTAGATGCACTCATATCTCTCGGGCTTGCGCTGCAGGAAGTTAACTTTTTATCTACACCAGGGTTCTGTTTCCAGCGGCAACCGGCCAAATGCCTTTGGAGCTCACATGCAGTGCATGAAGGCGATGACCATCCTATTTCTTCTGAGCACACTGCTCCATCTGGCCGCCACAGCTAACCGCCACTGACAGAACGCGTCTCCCTGAATTTGTCACATTTTTTTAAAGAGCTATCAAAGCCTGTGGCCATCATCAATCTTGTGGTAGTGAATTCCATAAGTAAATTGAGTGTTCTGTTAAGTACTTCCATTTGTCTATTCTGTACAGTAGAGTGGACTGAGGATTAGGGTATGACACATTCTTAACAGGAATCCTCTAATATATTCAAAAGATACTTGAAATGTCCCATAAAGAATTACCTGTCCAGTCACAGTGGCTCGCGTGTCTGACATCACAAACAATCAGCTTCAAACTACTGCCCTCCAAAAATCAAGGGACTGTTTGGAGTGGCATCTGTAGTCTAAAGGGGGGGAAAGTAGGCAACCTGCATTGCATAAGGGCTCTTGTAGCAACATAATCTAGGACATCAGTCAGTGACCTTGAGTCAATGGCTGACACTCGAATCACACATTTGAACATTGATAGAATCCAGGCATGCCATCCCATAATACTACTGTAAGGAAGACGACCCAGAATTCAGAGTCGCCTCCCTTTGGGATATAAAAAGGGATTCCATAAGCCCTTGCAAGGGTGGGATATCTTTGGGGTGGGCTCTGAAAATTTCGGCAGAACACCCAAGATTTCCCCCATAGTGCCGCTTTCAGGCACTGTGGAGAAGAGGAGGAGATTGGATTTATATCCCGTGGCCCTTCACTACCCAAAGGTGTCTCAGAGCGGCTTACAAACTCCTTTCCCTTCCCCTCCCCACAACAGGCACCCTGTGAGGTAGGCGGGGCTGAGAGAGCTCTGACAGAAACTGCTTTTTCTCAAGAACAGCTGTGACAGAACTACGGCTTGCCTAAGGTCATCCAGCCAGGTGCAAGTGGAGGAGTGGGGAATCAAACCCCGTTCTCCCAGATTAGAGTCCGCACACTTAACCACTATTGGAACGTTTCTGGTGTGAAGAGACGGCAAAGCCTGGCGGGTGCCGGTATTATGCTCTTCCCCCAAACACATCAAACACTTGAAGAGCTCATTGTTTTGTGCCATTTTTGTGCCGCAGGCTTGGCACTTTTTAAAAAGGGCCATCACAATTGAGAATCTGCTCACAAGAACCACAAAGAAAAACAGCCGAGGTGATTTTTCTCTGGGAGAACCTTGTGGTATGCTCTCTGTCCAAGACGGCAGAAAGAGAAGGAAGAGTGCCCCCTTTCCCTCGGTCAAATGAGCGGGGAAAGGTCTCCAGCTCTGATGGGAGGGGAGGGGGGGCACTCATCAAAGGCGCTTTCTAGAAGCATGTGGAATTCTCTCCTCCACGGCAGGTGGGACTGCACAGAAGACACAAAGACGAACAATTACGTTTCGCATCCAGTAGCACCTTAGAAAACAAGTTTCGGGGTATAAACTGTCAAGAGTCAAAGCTCCCTTTATCAGACACGAGCAGGAAAGGAGATCTTTGAGTCCTTTTATCACAGTCAGAAGGTGGGAGGGGTGTTCTAAAGAATGCTTGTAAAGGATGCAAAGGGACAGTTTATTAATTTATTTATAATTTGGATTTATAAATCACTCAGTCCCTGAATACTCAGGGCTCTGAACGATGAACAGCAATAATAAAAACATATAACAAAGACATATAGCCAAAAAAATAACAACAATTTAAAAACTGATTAAAACAATTCATGGTACAGCATTCAGATGGCGTCGGTACCTCCAACTGTCCCCGTCTTGTAGGGGGATGCGTGGGAGTGTGGGAGTAGGAGGGAGGAAGTGCCAGCCAAGGTCGTAACTGCTGCTGTCCTCAACCAAGGGCCTGGTAGAACATCTCTGCCCCACAAGCCCTGCGGCACCAGATAAGGTCCCGCAGAGCAGGGATGTCATTTGGCAAAGAGTTCCACCAGGCTGGGGACAGGGTGGGAAAAGCCTGAGGCCCTGGTTGAGGACAGCTGGATGTCTTTTGGGCCGGGAATCACCAATAAATTATTCTCGGCAAGGCGTAACACTCTTCTGGGGACATACCGGAGGAGGTGGTCCTGCAGGTATGCCGGTCCTAGACTGCTTAAGGCCTTCAAAGGTCAGTACAAAAACCTTGAACCTGACCCAGTACTCCACTGGAAGCCGGTGCAGCTAAGGCAGCACAGGCTGAATATGTGCTGTTCGTGACATTCCTGTCAGGACTTGCGCCGCTGCATTCTGGATCAGCTGGAGCTTCCAGATCAGTCTCCAGGGCAGGCCAGCATAAAGCGAGTTACAGTAATCCAATCTGGAGGTGACCGTTGCATGGATTACTGTGACTAGGTCACGGCAAGTCAGGAAAGGGGCCAGCTGTCACGCTTCGTGCAGAAGGAAAAGTGCCTGCTTGGCAACATGCGTGACCTAGCCCTCCATAGATAAGGAGATATCCAGGACCACACCTAAACGCCTGACAGTCTGTGTCAATCGCAGCGGCATGCAATCAAGGGTGGGGAGTTGGCGCGCCAGCCCGGACACCCCCCCCAAACAAAGCACCTCTGTCTTAGTTGGATTTAGTTGCAGCCGACTCTTCTTCAACCACCCCACCATGGCCTCTAGACCCTCAGCCAGATTTTGTGGGGCAGTGTCTGAGTAGCCACCCATTACCAGATATAGCTGGATGTCATCAACGTATTGGTGACACCCCATCCCAAAACTCCATACCAGCTGGGTGAGGAGGCGTATGTAGATGTTAAACAATACTGGGGAGAGGATAGCCCCTTGAGGAACCCCCCACATGTTAAGGGGTAACGAGTTGACAAACTCTCCCCTTGCGTTACCCTCTGTCCCTGAGGGTATATTGTAATCCACTTCATTAATGTGTATGTGTGTTAACGAGCCAGCGTCAAGTTGCTTCTGACTTATAATTTCCCCCTGTTTAGGTGCTATCATTAAGTATGGGAAGTGACTGTCACAGATATCTTGGTCAAGTATAGTGTTGGCCACGACCATTGCATGGAAATAGAGAAAGTTCTTTCCAGCAAATTTCTCCCCTTGCCAATGTCACTGGGACTAGACAAACATCCAAAACATAGTTTTCTATCTCAAATACCCAGGTATCTCATCAAGCCGGAGGAAAATGCTGCAATTTCACTGTAGTACCTCCTTCACCTGGAACTGATCCTGGATACAAATTGGGAAAAATTCTTCTTTCCACCACAAAAAATACATATCACCACACAGAGGACCTTATTTTAAATCAGCAGAGAAATCAATTTATGACACTAAGGTATTCATAAAAATGAAACTCTAAATGAATCTCCACATTTGCAGGAGCATGTTTTATTTTTAAAAAATAACACACAGTTCCTTGCTATCATTATTTCACTGCAACAGCTTTGATGTACTAGAACATGGGTGTCAAACATGTGGCCCGGGGGCCGAATTAGGCCCCCAGAGGGCTTCTATCAGGCCCGCAAGGGACTGGCTGTCTCCTGCTTCTTCCTCCAGTTCTGCTGCTGCTGCTGCTGTGTCATGGCTTGCTTTCCCAGACTCTCTCAATCGCTCAGGAGAGAGAGATAGGCAAGCTTCTGCTCCCTGCACTGGGCTGAGGCTCCTCTCCTCCCAGATTGCTACAGCGCAGACATTTTGATGCAATAATTCAGAGCAAGAGGTGTCAGTTATCAGACACTGTTAAATAAACAAAATATTGCAAGAACTTGATGTATTGGTTATTCTGAAGTGTGGTTTGACTTTGCATAACCAGTTTATATAGAAGGATATTATCCTTAAGTGAGAAAGCACTGCCATTCTTCTGCTGCTTATTTGTTCTTATAAATGTGTATCTAGCATGTTGGAAAAAGAGGCAACCAAATTACACATAAATTAATCCTTGAACGCACAGTATTCAAATTCAGTCAAAGTTGTAAACATCTGTAGATGACATGACCTCGGCAGGTCATGTTATTGTCTGAATGGGAAGTCACTGAGTTTCATTTCTTTTAAGTTTCCTCGTGTGTATAATGACAGGGGGCATCATATTAGGAAATACTTTCCTTAAAACTAATGTAGTCGGCAAAGAATCTTGTTAGCTTAAAGACTGATTTGGGTAACACTGTGAAGCCTGTTTTTATTCTGATGTTCCATCTAGGGTTTAAAGGAAAACTCTAATCCAAAATCTGAGATCCAACATCTGACATCCTTTCTCTACATTACATTCACAACTTCCAACCAACAGAACCAATTACAGGAAGAGACTGTCTCCCCGTGGGGGGCCACCACACATGGATCGTACAGGGAAACGAGTACCTTTAAAGTTCATGAACCTAAAGGACTTTGTGACACACAGAAACTGAAGAATTTTCATGGAAACAAGCCCACTCCTCTGGGTAAGTAACACACATCAGACAAAGTGGATTCTAGTTCATGAAAGCTTATGCTGGGATTAAATCTTATTGGTTTTTAAGGCTGCACATCACAGGCCTATTTCACTTTTTCTACCAAGCAGAATTTTAGTTTTAAGTTGGGGAGGACAGGATGATACACACACACAAACCAATTCAACTTGTTGTTCTGAATGCTATTCTGAAACACAGCAGATGTGATTATTTTGAGTGGGAAAATGCCATCTCAGACATCATGCATTAAGCTTTTCAACTCACTTTTTGACCCAACCAGTAATTAATTCTGTAACACATTATTTTAATGGTACACTAATTAACCTTGAATTAGAATGGGTTTTGGCAATGACTCTTTATAACAACTCACATTACAAGTATGTAAATTATTGAATCTTAAGGCACTCAGCTA